ACATTCGAAGTCGGTAAATCGCTATTTTATCTTCTCAAATCAGATTTCGGTAAGTCGAATGATGTTTCGATTTCACGCATATTAACGACATGCTCTTGATGAATATAATATGCACATTATCGGTGTAATATCTCCTAGAAATCTCTCATTTATCATTCTTTTCTAAGGTTATATTATATATATGATTATATTAGATTTCTTAATTTTAATTTAGACAAAAATAAATTATTTTAATTTTAAAAGTTTTTTTTTTTTCCAAAGTGACTTCATCTCAATCATATATTTGTTGATGTTGATTTCTCATTAAAAAATGAACAAATTAAAATTGATCTAAAATATTTATTTCAACGATGATATGAATATAATTTTAAGCTATAAATTTTTGTCGATTTTTGCATACTTAAGGTTATAATGATATTATTTGAAATTTGAAATATTAATTTAATATAGAATAAATTTCAAGAGTCTAAATGAAATAAAAATTAGAGAAAACGCTATTAATCAGAAAATGTAAATTTATTTAGCCCCCTTTTGGCACCTATTTTTTTCTCATTCTCATTCTCATTATTTTTCTCTTTTTTCATTTCAACCACACATTCTATCAATAAAATAATATTACACACAAATCTAAAAATTCTCCTTACTTTTTAACCACACATTCTTCCATCAATCACTATTCAAAAATACATTTTTCTACGAAAATGGGTGTCAAACACCTAATAAATTTCGGATTACGTCACTTTGTCAGAAAGATTTAGACAGAAGCGGTGATAAAAGTGTAGGCAACAACGGATTGGACGAAAAGGCTGAATATTTTTTAACCAATTATATCAATTTTTCTATCACTGTAAATTGTCGAGTAAACAACGTGGAGAAGTTGTGCTTGTAATGGCTGTTGCTGATGCTATCTTATCGTACATAAACGGTAAAATACGTATCTGTGCCAAGCCCAGTCCACATTTGTCTACAAATTGGATTCTATTTGTCTTGATCTTTATTGTATAAACCCTACAAGTACTTGCCCATACTGCCATGTGAGACGAAGATTCTCATTGCCATTCCCACTAGAGAAATACCTCTGATAAATTAAAAGGTGAGGTTCACATATATCCTTCTTCATTAGCAGTTTTGACACAAAAATACACATGTAACGTTATTTGTCAGCACTGATGACAATCATGTTTAGACGACACTGACTCGCACGTCAAATAACATGTATGGATCACGTCACTGCAGTTAATTGGATCTATCATATGGTTTTGCCGCATAAGGTGATGATCATCAACAACGACGTAACATTATTGGGATTGGCAGTATGTAGATAAACCGTCAAACATTCTTAAGCTCAAACGTTTTATATCCTTCAGAGCTACAGATAACAATTGCATCCAAGAGAAGTTTAAAAAGAAGAAACTGTAAAAGACATTCCACAGGAGGACAAAATCTTTCATAGAAATTCTAATACATATAAAAACTGCCATCAACCGGGTAATTTAGACTTTAAAACCTCTGCTGTTTCTTCTACCTCTAGCACGCTCAAATTTCCTACCCTTGGCTCTCACATAAGGCTTAGTGTGGCTGTGTGGAACACCAGGAGCTGGACCAAAGTGCTTCACTGCCTCACGAGACTTCACGGGTCCTCTAAGAAGTACCTGAGTCAAACCAGCACGGTTAGATAATACAAATGAGTCTTGTAAAATTCAGTCACCAATGTGTCAATTAGCATTTTCTTGAAAAATTGATTTGTGAAGTAATACGGAACTAGGATTTGTAACAAAGGTTATCGTTCAGCGAGATGATGCTAATGCTTTTCGAAAAGTATATCTAGTATCTATTGAAGATCAAAAAAGGAAAATGTAAATCAAATTATCAAAAAGAAAAAGTCAAAGACCAAATACACCAGAAAACTAAACATCCAATGTAGCACATCGTCAACCAATGAAAAATGAGAAATCACAAATTTCATAAATCCTAAACTAACTTATCCCCGAAAAGGGAAAAGATCAAAACTCACGGGAGAAAGAAGAGACACTGCATAAGATTAAAGAAGCAGATACCCCAAAAATGGTGTTTCATTACACAAACACAGGGTATTACTAAGACGAAGGGAAAGATTTACCAGCAGAATCATAGGTGCATGTAATACCACAAATACTCAGCAAGAACTAGAGTTAATTTTAACCAAACAATTTACACGAGGAATCAGAATCCAAATCAACCTTAATTGCTAGTTACAACAGGAAAAATGATTCATAGTATAGAACACAACAAACAATCATTCCGTACTCAATTATAATCACGTGGACAAAAAAATTATTCCTATTATTGGTTCAAAAATCTCATTTCCACTGTTTAACACCACCCAAGTATATCAAACATGAGCAACCACAAAATTATCAACAAAAAGAAATTGACAGTAAAAAAACTTGAACAGTCATTACCGTGTTCTGCCCAAGAGGAGCTCTAAGAGCAAGCTGGTCAAAAGTCAAGCATTCTCCACCCGATTTCTCAATTCTAGCCCTTGCTCTCTCTGTGAACCTCAAAGCTGTGACCTTCATAGCTGGGACTTCATAAGCCCTGATATCATCAGTGACAGTCCCAACAAGCACTGCAATCTTGTCTTCCTACAAAGGTACATAGAGAATGTAGAAAGTAGTAAGTACTAAGTACTAAGTACTGAACAATATAGATTATACAGTTCAAACCATATGATGAGATGCTCAAGTTTCAGCAGCATTTTATTACTAGTTGCTACAACGTCAAAATTTCAAAAGCAGAATAAAAAAAAATTGTGCTAGTAGTTAATTAATTTTTTTTTATGACCGTGAATGTCCGAGAAAACTTGCGCGCACCTCGACTAATCCCAAGGGGCACTGAAGTTTACAGTCGGGTACTCACCTCAGTGGTCTGATGAGAGTCATGAGACTCAAACTGGTGACCACTGGGGAGCAAACCTAATACCTGACCAATTGAACAACCCCTCAAGGTTCATTTATGCTAATAGTTAATTATAAATTAATGTGCAATTAGACTTGTATATTTTGGTTAGTATGGCCTAGTTGTACAGTTAAAAGTATTAACCTGGCAAAAAAAGGTACATAGAGCATGTAGAAGTTACTAACATTTTAGATTATATACAATTAGAACTGTATGATAAAAATACTCAAGCTACACCAGCATTTTTACTAGTTGCTTCAAAATCAGAATTCCATATGTAAGAAAAAAATCAGGCTAATAGTTAATTATAAACCATGAAATTTGACAGGTATACTTTGATTAGTTAGTGCATAGCCAACTTGAATTGTTTCTATCAGATTCTCTTGGCAGATATTTGTATCATTCATTTTGCCCCTTGCATGATCCTGTTATAACTTGCTGTAATCCTCTGGCTATTTAAAGCCAGCAA